TTGTTAACATCATTGCAAATTTCATACGAATACGATAGGCCGTAGCGCACTAACATTGAAAAATAGCGAAGCTCGCTGGTCAATGCTACAGTTTATAACCGACATGGTGCCAACATTCTTTCTCATCTCCAGCAAAATGAAGGCCTTTATGGTCCATATATAAATTTTATGTTATCTTCGACAGCAGAGAATTTGTCATTCTTTTATGACGTAGCCATGCATCATTTGCTCGATCTAACTTATTCGGCACCCCGCAGGATTGTAAAAAGGGAATATATATATATATATATATATATATATATATTGTAACATATATTAGTTTTAATTTACTAATTTCGCTTGATACCTCGAGACAGATAGAAAATATATATATTAGTATATAGCTGAAATCCATAGTGAATGTTTTGTGACGTTGAAACTTGTCAAGTAAATCAAAAAGGACACATCATAGTAGAAATAACCGTCATTGGTTGAATAAAATCTATAACGAATTAAATATGATTGAAATAAAATCTCCTTCTCTATAAAAAAAGACTTTTTCATCAAGAGACATAAACTATAAAACTCAAGTTAAATTTAGGCCAATGAAATTAAACCCTATGGGAAAGGTAGGTGGTAGTCATTATAAAGCAAGAGATCATTTTAACTGTGTTACAAAAAAATATTATAATAGCTTTCACAGTCCCTCAACACGAGGTTAATTCACAGCGCTATAAAACAAACACGAAATTTTCGGAATTTTTCAGTTATCGAGTTACTACTCGAAAATGGTGCTTCCTAGAGAAAACTTTTTGATATTAATCATTTATTTATAAAATGATTTAGGTTTTCGACAACCAGCTTCATTTTCGTCATATATTACATTTTTTTAGGATTTTAGAAATTAAAGAATTCTACGTCATATTCGTACATAATATTATAGTTCGTGGTACAACTCTTTTTATCAAATTATTAACATCCTCTTGAAACTTCGTAAATAGCTTTATTTCATCATAAACTACAAATATTTTATTTGTGTAAATTCCCGGCATTGGGTCGTTTTAAATCTGGAGCTCACCAAAATTTGTCAATTTAATTAGGAACTAAAAACTAATAAATACCCATTTGCTTTTCACTTGAATTGTAAGATAATATCATGAGAAAATCGAAAAAAAAAAGGTGGCCTACAAAAACATTGGGTCGTTTGGCGTAACCTTCGCCCCAAAATGTCAAAATAACGAGGTTGTATAGGCCAAATGGCCCAATATTTTTGTACGCCAACTTTTTTTCGATTTCGTCATGGTATTTTATCTTAAGATTCAAGTGGAAAACAAATGGGTATTCATCAGTGTTTAATACTTAATTAGATAGTCAACTTTTGCGGATCTCCAGATTTAAAACGACCCAATTCCGAGAGTTTTCGCAAATAAAATATTATTACGATGAGATGATGTAATTTACGAAGTTTCAGGCGGATGTTAATAATTCGATAAAAGGGGATCTGTACCACGGGCTATACAAATTTGGTACAAGAATAAGATCGAAACCTACGGAAATAAAACGGTAGTTTCAGCAACTATTCCAAGATATCCAATATCGTGAAAAAAAAACTATATACCACAAAAACGGCTGTTCTAAATTAAGTTTCATCGAAGTCAAAATACTATTATCAAATATACCACCCTTTTTAAATATTTTTGGTTTAATATTTTCAATAATGAACCATTTCATTCGATCGAAAATTCAAAACACTTAACACCCACTCTTCCTCAAAAGTTTAGGTTTTACGTTTCAGAATACGGTCAACGTTTTACGTTTCAGAATACGGTCAACGTTTTACGTTTCAGAATACATTCAACGTTTTACGTTGAACTCGAAAATCGAATACGAAATTTTTGTCCGCATGCCGTTCGCCTTCCGCGGCTTTCCTCTGAGACTAATGGACTAATTTCTTTCAAATTTGGAATCGAAGTCATTAGTCACTCGTCAATGATCATTCTACCTCGGCATTACTATCCGCCCTTTCCTTTCAAGATGGCATCATCTTCTTCCCTATCCTTTCGGATAAAACTTGTAGAGCATCATATATTTTATATTTAGAGAGTGCTCTGTATTTCTAACTATTCCCTATATAATGCTTTTAATAGTTATCAATAAATTTAAATTAATTAATTAGTTAATTTATATACTTTTATTAATATAAATGCAATACTAACCCTTGAGCGAATACCCTGCTCACTCACATCAAATCAGTCAGATTGTCTCTAGCATTCCTTCATCAGTATGAATTTTACTTGCTGGATTAGCTATAAACATGAAAATTAAAAAACAGCTTTTATTCTGTAACCTAATCCGCAACCAAGTTCAAAAAACTGCTTTATAACCAGTGATTTATTGAATATGTATTTACGAATAAAAGTGCTATTATCAGCACTGCTATCGGAAAATGTACAAGTAATCTGGATTTTTTTTCAAAAGGCATTTTCTATTTTATTGAATAATTTATTGATGATTGGTTACAGCTTTGGGGAGCGGGGTAGCTCAGTGGTAGGGCACTGAGCTTCCAATGCAAAGGTAAAGGTCCCCAGTTCGAACCCCGGCTCATGGCAGAAAATTTATTTATCTGTTTCATTGGCCGTGGGGCGACCTTGGGTCAGAAAGTCCCTCCTGGGGCACACCCAGCCTCTATAAAGTGGGTACCCTTAATTAATTACTTTAATTAAAATAATTAATTAAGGGGAAAAACCTGGCAGTGGGGCGTGATCTCGGTCAAATCACCTACCTCCTTGCACAACCGTTGACCTAGAAACAGTGCTTTTCCTAATTAGTACTGAATCCCAGATCCTTCATGGGTTGTAGTGGTACAGGTTTTTTTTTTTTTTTTTGGTTACAGCTTTGACAAGAAAAATATGTTATTAAGTGAAATTTATAACCTTTTTATTTGGGAGTTTTAACATATTTACAGTAACATTGTTGCGTTCGTTAAATGAACTTTTATAAATGAATAAACTTTAGAAAAATGATTATGTAATACTAATACAATGAGATATCAGGCAATATGTCAATTATCAGAATAGCAGCGGCATAAAGTCTGGGAACTCCTTATTTATAAACATTACAAATATAAATATTTATTTATTTAATATTGTTGCCTCTATCCTACGGAGTCATTAGAAACACCATTATCTTAAATTATATTGTAGAACTTTTATTTATTTTGGTTTAAACACGTCTTGTTCCCATTAGGTTTTCCAGATTTTCCAAATTTCTAGCTTTGTTTTCTCAAGAAAGTCTTTAATTGGGATTTTATTGTTTTTTGTTAAAGGGATTGTTCCAGGGTTTCTTCCCATAAGAACCGTCTGATCATTTCCGAAGATTCCGCTATATGATGGAACCAAATGGACTCTATTTCCTTGTCATTCCCAATTGATACCAAACATTTCTTATTTATCTTATTAGAATAACTTTGGGTGTAGTTTTTTCAATGGGAAATAGTATTTTCATGGATTCCATTATTATGGCCTATTTGACTCGATATGTACAAGAGCTTTCTATATAACCAGCGCTTCTCCAAGCATGTATTAGGCAGTAGAAGACCTTTTTATTTCAAGGCTTAAAATAGAATATCTCAACTCATTGTTTGCTTTTGATGAATTATATAAGTGAAATTTCTTCGACGTTTATATAAATAACTTTTGCGTTTCAATTGGGATTGTTTCTTCTTTGTTTACGAGTTGCGATCAATTTAAGTAGTATTGGAGTGGTGTGTATCCATCGGAGAGTAATTGAAATCCGCATTTCTAGAATATTGTCTAATTTTAGTGCTTAGAGATACTTTTATGTTAGTACCCAGAGATACTTCTAGAAGGTTTTTTCTACTTGTCATTCCTGTTTCCTCTATATTAAATAATAGTTTGTTTGGTGCATGTCTTAGGTTAGTATTGATATTTAGGCCTGAGTTCATCAGCAGAAATAATCTTCTCAAACATGGAAGAGGTTCGTCCGCTTCTACATTAGACTGTCAATTGTGGATATTTCCAATGCCCCAGTGCAAATTATTAAGGTTCAATTATGTACATCTAACATCGAAAGGACTGTCTTGAAGCAGTAGCGTATACACTTGATCCGAAGAGGAGAGGTGGCCGAATGGACTAATGCGTGTACACTGCACCATACGTTGTCCAGCAACCAGATAACCTAATTATAGATAAAAGTAATAAAATAACTCTACGAGTTCGTGTCCCGATAGAGGTGTTTTTTTTTTTTTACTCTGGCATTAATCCTCCCGTAATATAATTTGTTTCTGATGGTAGAGTGGTATATATTTAATATACTTTTCGTGTGCGCTCCCTAAGTGTGCGAAAGAAATTTGAGCAAAGCGATTCTTTTTTTTAATATTCTCATTGAATATGTTTATATCTAATGTCTGCCTAAGCATGTGGTTCGGCTGCATTTTAAAGTACATGTAACTGTCGACAAATGATATATCAGTACTCGGTATGATGGTATAGTGGTTCAATTATATATAATTAATATTTATGTAATACATTACTGAAGTGAAAACTTGTTTAGCCGCGTTTTGCACTTTTTTGTGGAGAGTGAATTAGATTGAGCAGTCAGATTTCCGATGTGTAACGCTTGGGTAAAGTCGGCTGGAGTCGACTAATTGAATATAAGTATATAATAGCATATATAAAAGTGTTTTTATACATGGATTAAAATATTTTAGAAACTAAAAATCGGACTTCCATACTATAAGCGAGGGAAATGTTCAGTATTTCATCATCTTTATGATTTATAATTTAATATTATTATTTAAGCTATTATTTATAATTTATACATTTCATATTATTAATCTCTCCTTGTTGGTGTTTTTACTTCTATCATGTGGTCTAAAACACACATCTTAGTTTTTCCTATATATTTTTTTTATTTTAAATATAAATATAAATCACTATCATTACTCCCTTTTAAACATTATAGCATTTTTGTTAAATTATTTTAATATTTAACCATAATAAATTGATTTGATAGGTAAAAATTTAAATGTACTTAAGTAAGAAAGTAAGGCTGTTGAAAAATTACCATATGTTGTTTGAAATCGTGTTTCTAAAAATAATAAGGGTTATATTTGTTATTTATAAGGTTGTTTAAAGTTGTTATGATAAAAGTCTATACCCGTAAAACTGTCAGGACTATTTTTAAAAGACAAAGATGTGAGTACTCCAATGTCGTAAGTAAAAACACTTATTATTATTGCTAAGGATTAATGATTGCCATTTAAAACTGTTTAAATTTTTTTGTGTTTTTATTTAAATAATAAAAAATAAGAGAGATAAAAGTGCAAGGTAGTGGTGATCATGACTAGATCTTATTCATGTGACTTTTTCTTTGTGTTTTCAATCATCTTTCTAATTTAGTATGACTGTACATTTAGGTAATTTATTTCGCTTATTTTTTTCCCCCTTCCGGCTAGAGCAACTTGAATGACATTGATCAATGGCATTAATGGAATTAATGAGGATAATATGTTTTGAAATGGAGAAACTGTATTGCGCATGTGACTGATAGTAAAAACTCGTATTGAAACACTAGAATAGAATACACTATAGTTGCCTTTTTTTCCCTTTTCTTTCCGTGGAGGAGGTGTGCACATCCCTCCATCATCACATGGATACTCACCGCGTTGCTAGCTCATATGATTTCATTTGATTTATAGATATCTTAGTTTATTTTTCAAGTATAGATTGAAATATTAATTAACCTCCAACTATAATATGTCATGTATTGATCATTGAAAAATGTAAGTGAAATAATCTAACGTAAAAATTACAATGCGTATATTAAACTACTTGTGTTTATTAAACTTGCTTTAATATAATTAAGTCAAATAGTTCAATCTCAACTTTTGCCTTATTCTGAATTTGCTATCTTAAAATTTTGTTGATATATTTACTACACAGAAATAATTGTTTTTAAGATTACGCTTAGATTTACTTGAGAGGATGAGGAAAACAATACACAAATAATGAACGAGTAATTTACATTCTTTACCTACAACAATGAACCTTTTTTGGTTTTAACTTCTATCGAAAATTCACAGCAAATTATCTATTTTATCAACATTTTAAAAATAAATACACTGACTAAATATAAAGTATTGAAGAAAAATTATTATTTAATTATTCACTGACCTTGAATATAAGTAAACATCTTAAAGAATAATTTAAGAATGGGCAACATTTGATTATCAATAACTTACCGATAAAAGTGTTATCCATCTTTCCGATTGTAAACCCAAATGCTACGTTTCTACTCATTTTATAAAATGCAATTAAACCTTCTTGAAATAATATTTGTGGCAAACAAACACTAACGGATCCAGGATTTATTTTTGGGGGAAGTTTCATCTTTGTGTTATCTATATAAGTTCTGCTGTATGGTTGTGAAACCTGGGCTCTAACCGGCACATTAGAAGCCAGAATTGAGAGATTTGAAAGAAAAGTTCTACGTAGGATAACAGGACCTATATGGGACCAGAACCTTGACACATGGAGGAAAAGGAACAATAAAGAACTGTTGAAAGAAACGGGTCAGTCAATACCTCATGACATGAAGGCAAGGAGGTTAAGATGGGCAGGGCATGTAGCTCGTAGTAATCCATCAGGACACCTCTACACGACAATGAATGCCAGAGTAGTAGGCAAGAGACCACGTGGGAGGCCAAAAACCAGATGGATAAATATGATAAACAAAGATACGGCTGAGCTTCATGCAGCAAACTGGAAAGCAGTAGCCCAAGATAAACAGAGGTGGAGAAGGCTGGTTCAGGTGGCCAAAGATCTACAAGGTCTGTAGAGCAAACCGAAAAAAATATATATATATACATATTTTGTGTGTATATATATATATTATATATATATACCTTTATATATATATATATATATATATATACAACGATTATTACTTCGAGAAAAAAAAATAAAGTAAGTACGTTTATGCAATGGTGTTTAAATGATGTTTGAAGTCATGTTAAATATAATTACACGAAGAATAATACATTTAGATATAAGTTTTTAATATTTATTTCATAAGACATAGTAATGTCTTGCCATGTTTGAAGTCATGTTAAATAAAATTACACGAAGAATAATACATTTAGATATAAGTTTTTAATATTTATTTCATAAGACATAGTTATGTCTTGCCATGTTTGAAGTCATATTAAATAAAATTATACGAAGAATAATACATTTAGATATAAGTTTTTAATATTTATTTCATAAGACTTAGTTATGTCTTGCCATTTTGGAGGAATGGAGGGTTGTCTTCAGTTCAAAATTTATCTCCCCTTCCTTCTCCTTCCACCTTTCCCGCCCCCTACCCCCCGTTGACGCGCCTGTGCAAACAAATAAATATTAAAATAGTCAAATGGTTTAAATGTTAAATGCTGCTAATAAGCGAGGAAAATATCGTGGGCGGGAGTGTTGGTACTTAAGCAAGATTAAGTTGGGTTAATAATGGTATGTTATTTGAGGATTTTACATACAGGAAACAACCTGGCAATTACGTCATCTGCATCTAAAAAATTAAATTTTTTTTTAATGATGATTTATTTTAAGTTATATTCGACTTGTATTTCGTTCGGTATGTTTCTAATTCAGTGGCTTTAATTACAGGCTAAAATCAATTACTCTCATACAAGTTATATTTTTCTTAATTCCCCTTCAGACTGGCTCCATTTGACTAATACCCAGGTTTCCCTGCCCAGCAGCGGATCCAGGATTTAATTTTGGGTGGCTTGGGTATTTTATTTTTATTAAGCATAGCCATGTCTTGTTCTACATCCTTCTTAGTTCATCTTTGAAATCCTCCTTCATTATCTTTTTTTGTCATCTCCCCTTTTGGCAACTATTCATCATGGCAACCTTTCCAAGCCAACTTAGTCTTTTTGATGTAACAAATCTGACTATATCCTCATGTCCTATGAGGTTATCAATTTTCCTATTCTTTCTGATTCTCCAGGTGCCCTCTGAGCATACTGAGCCGAAAATACGTCTTAACATTTTCCTCTCAAAGACCCTTAGGGCTAATTGGTCAGAGACTTTCAGTGTCCAGGTTTCTGTTCCATAGCACACCACCGGTCTTATCAGAGACTTGTATGGTTTTAATTTGGTTTGCTTAGTCAGAGGGCTTGATTTCATCAGTTTTTAAAGGCCATAGCAGGCTCTGTTTCCAGCCATGATTTCATCACTTCCCTTGTTCTCGCAGTTTAATTCCACTCCAAGGTGAATCGATCAACAACTTCAAAGCGATAGATACCCACGACTAAATTTTGTGGCCTTCTATTGCGGAAGCAGATAATACCATATATTTGGTTTTGGCTTCATTAATTGCCAGTAGTACTTCCCTGCTTTCATTATCTAATTGAATCAGCAATTCTTTTAAAGTGCTTTCGCTGCTGACCAACATCATCCGTATAACCAACAATCTGTGTAGTATGGCATGCAAGGTTACCACTCGGAAAAATTGTTCTTACGGCTTTATGGAGGATTAAGTTGAATAGAATGGCTGACAAGGTATCTCACTTTCTCACTCCACTTTTGTACGTGATTTTGCGACTGATTTGATTTCCAATCATCATAGAGCCATTGTCATTTTAATCAAATTGATCAACTTATAAGGAATACCAAAACCTTCGAGAGCTTGATAAAGCTGAATCTTGCCAACTCCATCAAAAGCCTGTTTAAAGTCCACAAAAAGCTAGTGGACAGTCTTGCGTTCGTAGTATTTTTCTTTTATTTGTGTAACTGGAGAGTTCCGGTCCGCAGTTCCTCTGTTCCGCAAGGATCCTTTCAGAGTAGATCTTAAGCTTTTCCACTATGAGCCTAGCCAGAATTTTGTATGCTGCATTCAGGAGTGTAATTCCTCTATATTTTTGGCATTGGGTCTTATCTCCTTTCTTAAAAATAGTTTAAGATCAATCCATAGTACCAACTGGTAGGCATTTTTTCATTTGTCCATATGTTACAAATTAAATCATTCATCATTTGATGCAGAAGATCTCTGTCTATTTTAAGGATCTCACAGAGAATATTATCTTCTCCAGGGACGCGGTTATTTCTTAGTGAAGTTATGACAACTTCAAAATCCTCATAGCTGGGCGGTTAGCAATCAGAGTTCTCCATCGTATTTCTCCCAATGTCCACATTGTGCTTCTTCCTAAACTGGGCCGTCCACATTAAGTATTCTTCAAAATGTTCTGCCCATACATTCCCAACTTTGATGTCTTCTCCAAGCATCGTTCCATTTTTATCGCGGCATACGTTCATCCGTGGTTGAAATCCATTTCTCATTCACCTGACTGGTAAAATTTTCTTTCTTCTTTGTTTTCCTTCAGTTTTTCCATAGCTTCAACCTTCTTCTTCATCCACTCTCTCTTCTTCTTTCCACATAACTTGGCCACTTTTCGCCTGCTTTTCTGATATTTGTTCCTATTACCTCTCATGTCTTTCTGGAACATTATTTTCCTATCTTTATTCTTTTCATTTATGGCTCTTACTCATTCCTCATCTTTTTCTTAACTTATGCTCACATTTAGTTGCTGATATACATGCTTATAAGTTTTAAAAAGTGCATATTTTAATTGTTTACTTAGCTCAAACCGCTCACTGAAACAAATATTGACCAACATAAAAAATATATTTTTCAATTTTGGGGGCTTCAACCCACGGGCGGATCTACGGGAGGGGGGCTTTCGGGCTGAAGTCCCCTCCCCAAAATGGTAAAATATAACCATGTTTTATCGAAAAAAATATTTAAAAAGTATATCTTAAAGTATTATTGTTCGTATAATTACATTTAAAAGGGCTCTAGGAATCACTTAAACACCATTTCGTACAGTTAGTTAGTTTCTTTCTTTTTTTCCAAAGTAATTATCGTTATTTTTATGAAAAAAACAACTTTCGGGCTGAAGCCCCATCAAAATGAAATCCTGGATCCGCTAGTGCATCAACCTGAAAGTCCTCTCTCCCCCTCCCTCCCTTGCCATTGAAGACCACAATAAAACCTCCAACATAACCTTATGATGTAAACAATCTGTATTGTTACTTCTAAAAGTGTGGATATAAATTATTTATCTGGATATAATAATAGATCTTCAATAATGATGTAGAGTTTGATTCTTAGCCTTTTTAAGTTTAATGTAACGTGTATACTGTGATAATCAATTGAAATCATGTCTCATACAGATGGAAATGAAGAGCTATCTCCCCATTTTTTAAATCGTCTTGGTAGAGAATTCTTTGATGTTCCTTGCCTTCAACTTGCCAAATCATTGTTAGGACAGGTAAATAGTCTTCTGTTTTACCAGACCCTATGTTCTCTTAATGCATTACAACTCCGATATTTTGATTAATAGTTTAATTTATATCATTTAGATTTTAGTTAGACGTGAAAATGAACTTACACTGAAAGGTCGTATTGTGGAAACAGAAGCATATATTGCTGGTGAAGATATAGCATCACACTCTCATCATGGTAAGATAACAGAAAGAACTGCACCTACATTTATGGATCCTGGTACCATCTACGTAACACGTGTCTATGGCATGTATCATGTCTTCAATATTTCTAGTCAGGGTCAGTATTAACATTTTTGTTGAATCTCTACACAATGAAATAATAGTTATGTTTAGAACTTTCTTCTTCTCTTGAAAATCATTCTGAAAAGAACTTATTTTGATGAAGTAATAAGATTTTTGGTACAACTTTACAATTTTTCCTCTTCTTTGATGAATGGTATAAGATCACGTTTATAAATAGATACCACATTATAAATGGAATTCAGAGTGGATTCAAAAATAGACAACCATCTGGTAAAGCCTCGACCTCAACTGTAAAGGACCTATTAGAGATTTGTTTATCCCTTTGCAGCAAGTATAAGTCTAAAGCAGGGATACAGTTGAATCAAGAAAGCTCATTTCCATGCTGTATAGTCATATTTCTCAGTTTTTGACAAAATTGATAAAAAGTAATTGTTCTTTCGCCATAGTTTTCAACCTTACCACTTTTCCAAATTATTTTATTTAGATACTCATTCTACACACAATTTGACATTCTTTAATTTCCTAATGACTAAGTTTTTCTCTTAGATGTACCATTCAGGAGTCATCGGTATTCTTGTTATTGAAAAAACAAAAATGTAGCTTTTTTGGCAGTAAAAGTTCTTCCTTGGCTGAACATGTTAGGATTTTTGATTTTTACATGTTTCAACCTATATATACTATTTAAAAAAAATAATCTTTTCTCACATTTTTAGCAACATAATCCCCAATTGCCAGGACTGTTTTCCACAAACTCACAGGAATCTCAAATTCATGAATTCTGTATTTATTTTTCAATAAATCCATTTTATAAAGGCCAAAAATATTTTTTAATGAATTTTTATTTTTTGAATTATATCCATAATTTTTTTTTTTTTGTAATCGCCTCTACCCTATAGGGTCATTAGCAGTAAGTTTATTATACTCTATTGTAGTATTGAGTTTCTATTAAGTATCAGAATAGAGTGGCCACTCTGTCCTCGTTGTCTTCCAATATTATCTTAATTGTCACTGGTAATTTCAGTTTTTGTCGAAGTGATTTACCGACTACGGTTTATTGTCACACTTTTGGCAAATGGGTGCTTCTAGTCCTCTAAGAAGGTACCCGTGAGTAAGCAGGCAGTGACCAATTCGTATTTGGCACAATATGGTTTCCTCTCTTCGGAATTTTTTTGTGCTTGTAGCTCATTTGTTGCACTCTGTTTTTATTTCTAATAGTTTTGATTGTTTAGTTTTCCAAATCTTTCAACAACTTCTGTTTTTTCTTCGGAACCCAGTCTTCTACTATGATACAGGGTATTGAAATTATGGTTGGAACCTCTCTCTCCCTTCCTTGCTAAACTAGCTGCTTGGTCTGCTCTTTCATTGCCTATGATACCACTATGAGATGGGACCCCAACAAATACTACACTGATTATTCTTTTTTTCAATCCCCACCATAGATTCAATATATCTCTTATTAGGAAATTGCTTGGCCATGGGTTACCAATTGCTTCCATAGTGCTTTTGGAGTCCAATGTTATCATCCATTTATTGTCATTGGAATTTCATATCCAATGGAAGGCCTTCATGATTGCAGTAGCTTCTTTGTTCTTACTGAAGGAAATGTCAGTTTCTTAAATATCAAATAAACAAAAAATTGATTTTTTTACAATGGATTTTTGTTTCATCGTTTTTACTTGTGAAAGCATACCTATTAAGTACATATGCATGTTCAGTATACTGAATAAATATTTTACTAGGAATAGATAAGTTCATGATTTTTTTTATAAACACTTATAGTCAAATATGCAATTTGCAAATCTGGAACTCTTAAACATTTTTGTATTCGTTGATGGTCAAAACTTCACGATATCAAATCCGCAAATGTTAAAGGATTACTGTATTTTTAAAACTGTTTCTTCCAGAAATTTTATTCTCTAATAAAAAGTTATAGATTATATATACGTAATTATGTAACCAATGAAAATGGAGAAGAATTACTGTTTGAATCTATTTAAATTTTTCAGCTTCTTCTAAAGAAAAATAATTAATCAACAATTATTAATGGTTAGATTCTTGCTTTCAATACCATTCGTTTATATGTGTCTCTTGTTGTAATCAAAATTGTTAACTTTAATTATCTTCTTCACACCGAACAATATTGCTACCAGAGTCCTTATTCAAATTTTTAAACAATAAAAATTAAAATATGAAACCAACAGATAGTTATTGGAGGAATGACCTTTTTATTGAAATCTTATATACTGCAACCAAAACAGGGAAATTCTTCTTCATTTAAGTAACAATTAAACAAAAATAAATGAAACCTTGACGAAAATCAATTAAGGCAAGTAGAGGTGACTAGTGTGGGTAGTTGGTACCTCTTACCAATATGAGACTAAAAGAGCCTTCAGTATACATCCTTCATTTAAGATTGTTAAGTCTTAGAACCCGTTATAAAATAAAGAATTTTGAGACTTTAGTATTTTTCGAAAATTACAAATTTTAATTTAGGTATTTTAATTAACATTTTATTGTACTGCAATGTATATTTTCTGTGAAACTTTGCTTTAGGAGATGGTGCTTGTGTTTTACTAAGATCCTTGGAACCTATTTCTGGACTTGAAGAAATGAAGAAGAAGCGATCTTTCTTCGGAAAAGGTGCTAAGAAACAACTCAAGTCTTACAGGTTATTTAGACATCCGAGTGCAATTAGTTTTGTTAAAATAATCTTAAATAATACATAACAGTAATTAAATGATTCAGAAGACAAATATTCATGTCCTCGAGGCATTAGTGATGTCAATATTATAAATTTCTTTTATTGTTAATAGAGAGGTTCTAAAATATCATTTAGAATGAAAATAATGCAATTATGGCTTATATTAAATCTATAGAATGGTGATTTATCATAATTGAAATTTAACCTTTATGGTTTACAGTTTTCAGTTTGATGTAAAAATAATTTATGATTTATTACTAAGCCAGCAAAAATTTAAGCTAATAGAAAGTGGAGGGTAAGGACTTGAATTGGAAATGATGGAAAATTCTGACAATAAATTAGTAATTATTGTTGCTCCTCATATAGATATTTAACCTTAGGATAAAGTGTATACAAAACATACTGTTCCTGTAATAAGTAATAAATAACTTGTCCCAACTGAACGAGTTCTTAGAGTTAATAAGATCCATAGTATAGTCTTCGTCCAATATGTAAATCATAAGTAGTATGACATAACTTTTTTTTTTCTTCCCTACCTTGCCTTTTAGGCTACACGGGATTTTCCCGGGCCAAGGATGGGGTTTAATGCCCGAGTTAAAAAAACCCACCGGCACCGGAACCCGAACTCGTAGTTATTTTATTAACTATAATTTGGTTATCAGGTTGCTGGGCAACACACGGTGCTGTGCACACGCTTTAGTCCACTCGCCCATCCCCTCCCCTCAGTATGACATAACTTAATGTTATATAATATGGAACATGTTTTCTATCTTACATAAATTTATTCCTCCATTGCTTTGATTTACAATGGAGCTCACCTATTCCATGGCACTTGTATTTTCTCGTATCCTTAAAATATATATTTTGCCTTAGGGGCTGCCTAACTTTTACTACTGTTAGTGATGCTTCTATATTATTTGTTCCAATTCCTAAAAGATCAGCATAGTTTCAAACTTTATCGCTGAAATGGAAAATAGCCTAAAACAGGGCATTATTAACTGTATAAAGTAAGGCTATATTTTTTTTCATCACATTTATTTTCATTTTTCTTCTACATCAGCTAGGTTTTGGCTATGATCCCATTTTCAAGCTATCTATAAGACCCATTCACAATCAGTTTTATAATAACCACATTTAACATAATATGATAGTGATGTTAGTCATCTCTTAAAAACCCACATTATATAAATTATAACCCTAATGGGGTTGAGTCATTAAGTTAATTCACAATTCAATTAATTAAAATAAAAGATAGTTTAAGAATATTCCTTAAATACATTTATATATATCAATATGAGGTCAATGAGATATTGATCCCTAGTGAATTTTAATATTCTTACTTAGTTTAATAATGCTCCTTATGTTCATTCCATAATTGGATTATAATCTGTATGGTACTACTTCTGACAAATCACTATGGTTGACCACTAAAAAGCTCCTTAAATTCAAAGATTTTAACCACCCACTTATTACTGAAACCCAAACCTGGTCCAGATCTGACGAAGAAAAATAGCAAATATTTGCTCAGCACCTCTCAAAAACATTTAATCCACACCCAGATATCCTTAATCCAACCCACCTTGAGTTTATTGAAGCAGAATTGGATATCCCACTTCAATTGACTCCTCCACCTAAAGCATTTCATCCTTCAGAAATATCCAATATCATTCATAGATTACCTTCCCACAAAGCTCCTGGCCATGACCTAATCACATCTCAGATCCTAAAATTTCTTCCTAAAAAAGCCATACTGTTCCTAACCTTGATATATAATGCTGTACTCCGAACCACATATTTTCCTGACTCTTGGAAACTATCCATTGTCAAAATTATACCTAAACCCATAAAGCCGCCAGAACACCCATCCTCTTACCGTCCTATCTCTCTTTTACCCATTATGGGCAAAATCCTGGAAAAACTTATCTTAAAACGCCTGTATCCCATCCTAGACTCTAAACACATTATCCCAGATCACCAATTTGGATTCCACGTATCCCACTCCACTATTCAGCAATGCCATCGTGTGGTAGATGCAGTCTCCTCTGCATTGGAGCGTGGAATGTACTGCACGGGAGTCTTTCTCGACGTTGAACAGGCGTTTGATAGAGTCTGGCATCCGGGACTGATGTACAAACTCCGTAAATTCCTACCACCTACATACTTCCTCATTATCCGTTCTTACCTTACTGACAGACACTTCAAAGTCAGTCATAACAATGCCCATTCATCACTTTTTGCTCAGTCTGCCAGTGTTCCTCAAGGTAGTATCCTAGGTCCTATCCTGTACACAGTTTATACAGCTGACATCCCAACCCAATCCATCTATTGCATCCCAAACGCTTCAATCACACATCACAAGTCTTGAAAAATGGTGTCAGAACTGGAGGATTAAAGTAAATTCCTATAAATCCCATCAAATTACCTTCACTCTTCGCCGTAAACCTATGACTTTCTGTCCTGGTTGCTCATAACAATCGTTATCTAGTGAATATTTGTGTTATTTTTTTTGTTTTTTTCAATACAATTCTTTACACCATATTTTGTAATCTATGAAGTACCATTATGAAAGAACTATAAAGATTTGGATGACGATATGTTTATAGTTTTTAAATTAATTATTCAGCATAAAATTTTTTTCTGTACATTTTGTTTTGTTAGATTCTTTGAATTTGTTTTCATCCAGTTTTCGAATTTAATGCTAATTAAAAATATCATGTTCTTTTTTTTATAGATTACATGAAGTCTGCAATGGTCCTTCAAAGCTTGCAATTGCATTTGCTATTGACACAAAATTTTCTGGTGATGATCTGGTTAAATCATCAGAACTTTGGTTAGAGCCTGGTCCTGAAAAAGTGAAAGATGAAGAAATAGTCGAATGTCCCCGTATTGGAATTGACTTTGCTGGTCAAGTTTGGGCATCAAAGCCTTTCAGGTATTTTGTTTTAGAACATAAAAGACAGTTTTTGTATTTAGTTGGCCTAGACAGAAAATCTGGAGTGTCACCCTATTCCTTAATTGAGGTGGTTGTTGCACTCAATCACAATATGTGTTCGGAGAAAAACTCATTTGAAAATTTGAGTCTATTGTAATTTCAGTTTTTTAATAATGAACCTTTGTAATTTGTGTTAGCTAAAATAAAAACTATATACTTTTTAACATGCTAACAGTTTGTCCTTTGAAAATAGTAAATAATAGGTGGAATAAGTTGGGACTGTGTTTCTTGTTACATTTCCTGAACCTGAATATCACACATTACCTATTTAATTAATACACTGATATTTTTTTCATTCAATTAATGAATTTAGTTGCAAAAGAACACATGTTCATTTTTTTAAAATAATAATAGTTTTTTTTATGTTTTAATTTCATTTTAGTGAATTGCATTGAAGCCTCCTATTATTCCCTATCAAAACTTTCCCTATCATTCCCTATTTCTTTCATGGTTTAATTTAGGATACTTATTTGACTAAAATAGAGCCAGCAAGAAAATTGAAACAGGTGGTGGGAAAGATACCTCTTCCCATGTATATTCTACTTCTCTCAAACCCTGTCATTATTAAAAATCAGTGGAGTTAATTGTTTAATACCTACTATAATATTAATCACTTTTCAACACCTAGATCTATTTTTTCTAACAAATTGTAAATTTTTATCCTCTGAAAAATCAACCAAAGTAGGGTATAATTGTAATCAAAGAATGAGATCACAAAAAAAAAAAAATAGAAGGTAATTTTGCTTGATTACACAATTTTAATCATAACCACCATTATGATCATGATTGTAAATTACAACTAAAATTGTGTAATCTAGTCCTTTTTTATGCTGAAATCTTAATCACTTATTACATCTATGTCAGTTGTCGGTTCTTGTACTCAAATATTAATAGTTGAAAAAAAAAAAAAGAAACATTTATTTAATCATTTTTACAATCAAAGTAATTTCTTTTTGCAACAACAGATTATTCATCTGAATTTGTACTTTTAATAATTTTGTATTTTTTTTTTTGTTTGTAAATTTGGTATTTTTAAAAACTATTTATATTAGATAGACCAATTTTAAAACTTTAGTCTTACTCCTATCGTTCAAATTGTTTCCAAGCGATAAATGTAATTTTTTTTAAGAAATTATTTGTTTAAATAATAAGATTAAATAAGTTTTTTCACTGATGTCTCATTTAAACTATTGTCCCATTGGAAAAGTGACCATAGTATTTCTTCTTAACAAATTTTAGATACAGTAGCCATAAAACATTGGGCTTCAGCAATCCATTACGTGACTTGATAAAATGGTATTGATGTTGTAGTATTTTTCTTCAAGTTTTGGAAATAGTCCTGCAATTTTTTAACAAATACTCGCAACAGCTACTTTAATAAAATTCCTCATCCCATTTTAAACTTCTACCTAGTGATAAAAATTAATATATATTTTTTTTTTTTATTTTTTAGCTTTATGACCTGTAAAAGCAAGTCCTATTTTGCAAAAATTAATATTAATTATCAAAATAATATACAATATTTGCCTATCTAATAATGTACAAAAAATTAATAGACATAAATTTAATAGCTATTAACACTAGATTGATAGATGTCAAGGAGCAACTGAATAGGTAGTGTGTGAAGGCTTGATTTTATAAATAAAGAGGGTCGATCTAGGTCAATTCCCTTACCAGCTTTACCCTAGCATTCTGATCCATTTTCCAACTTACACTAACTGGATATGTGTCCCTTTGAAAGTAAACTCCTCAATAATTGTTTTTTAAATATTTTATTCGTTCTTTTAATTGTAGTCATCCTATTCTTTCTTTACTTTACATGCTTTTTCAGATTGACCTTCCTCTTAACACATGTTTATACATTTAAAGATGAAGAAGTCATCTAAACAAAACTAATAATTGGTTCCCACTAATTATATATCTAACTAGAAACTATTCTGATTTTCTAATATGAAAACAAAATATTTTTTATGAGACAAGCTATAATTTCAAAACATAAATTTTTTTTTACTAGAATCCCTGTAAAATTGGCTGCAAATTTAGACTTGACTGGTTTCAGAACTCAACGTCTCGTATTTAACTTTCTCTAATAAAATTTTATTCATTGATTAATTAAGTATTAAATCTTATACATAGTCCATAGAAAAATTTATTTTAAATATTGAATAATAGATAATGAATGATTTATTTCTTTTTTCAAACTAAAAAATAGCAATATAGAATATGGAGAAGTAACTGCATTTCAATGACTTTGGAGACTTTAATGGAGTTTTTTTTTAGAATACCTATTAATAAAAATTTGTGATTTCAAGTAGTTACCTTTAGTGTACTTGTTGGATTAAAATTTATAGCATTGTAGTTATCCCGGCTCATAATTTTAAATCGCAGATAAATTTTTTCTGAATTTCTGGATCTTATTCGAACCATAAGGTGATATGTTTTTTGTTGAATCTTAACTGGTTATATTAAGTTTTACAATTTTAATTTTTAGTTAATAGAAACAAAAGAACAATTGAAGACATTTGTCTGCTGCTTATTTATGCAATAGCTCTAAGATAATGACAGACTGCATATATCAGATTCAGATTACATTACTATATTATATAACAGAATGTATCAAAATTTTGCTTTTCATAGCAAATTTCAACTAGCTACTCCAACAATATTCAAATTTTCGAGCAAGTACTATATTGATCAGACTTGCATGGCATGGGGCTCGCACATTAAAGATGAAAAGAAAAACCATATACCAGTGACTTGTGCTAAACTCATTGCTTATTAGACATTTAAATTAAAAAGTAATTGCATGAAAAACTTTTAAATAATTGCATACCTAGACTGACTTGTTAAATTCGCCTAAGTTTATTCTGTAATTTATTGTTAAAAATCTGGTATGTTGCTTATTGTTTAATATGTATCATAAATTTTTATAAATAAAGCAGAGGTTGTATTTCAAGTGATATTTATTTTTATTTTTTAGATATTATTTGATTGGGAACACCTGTGTAAGTAAACGAAATAAACATGTTGAAGAACAAATGAAGGCAGCAATCACTGAAGATGTTGAATGACAGACGTTATCATTTATTGGGCTCCATTTTTATCAACCATAGATAAAAGTGAATAAACTAATACATTTTTTTATTTCTTGTTGTAATTAAGGCTTTTTTTGTATACCATGAGATTAATGTTTTTACCTATAATTGTAAAATAGTTTAAAAGAAAAACATCACCAATTGCTAAATAATAATTTTCTCAACTTAAAAAAAAAATTAAAATGTTCAGTTCCATGTTAATATTATATTTGCTAAAAATAATATAGAATAAAAAAAAATTATACCCTCACTAGTTAATTTAAAAGTCAAAATATTAAATATAGATAAAAGGATGTACTGTTAGCTTAGAATTATTTTTTGGATCCTCAGACAACTATTAACCATTAATTTCTCTAAACCATAGTTGAATTTTTTTAGCTTCATTGATAGTTCCCAACACTATTCACATTGAAAGACACCAATAGATAATCTAAGAACAAACAATATATGAAATATTATATCTTTATATATGAGTTTTAGACCAGACCAGAATAATTCTCGCATAACCTTCGGCAGATATAGTTTTGAGGATGTAAACAGATTCATTTACCTCAGATCCGAACTAAATAATGAAAACAGAAATTTTAAACAAAGTGAACAGAAGAATAATGGTTGCTAATCAAGCATACTGTGCTAACATGTACTTTTTTAAATCTTCTTGTCTGTCATGGACCATTGAAGCCTGTCTATATAAAACATTGCTAAGATCCATTTTAATGAATTGTTCTGAAACCTGGACCCTCACTGCTGTAATGACGAAAAACCTGTGAATGTGTTTGGGATGAAAGATATGGTACTTGTCCATTAGCCGGGCAGGAGGAAACCTCCCTTGTTATCTATGTTACGTCACATAATCTCCCTCTTCCGATCTCTCCAAACCTTTTAGTTATTACATTGTTTATTTTTCAGTTATTAAAGTCTTTATTTTTGGTCCATTAGTGTTATTTTTGTCAATTAAGTGGAGAAATAAAATACATAGAGAAATTGCCAGACAACACCTCGATTCATATTTATGCAAATTTTTGTGACGGTGGGTTCACAAAGAAGAGGAATTCTTGCTATTTTAAATAGCATCAAACTATTTTGCCTACCAAAATAAATAAGATGAAGTGAAAATAAACTGTACATATATCGTTTATATTGTTTCTTTTATATGTACATATGTCCTTTAAGTGTTTTTTTTTTATTATTTCATTTTCATCTTTTATATGTTCATATGTTGTTTAAGTGTTTTTTTTTATTATTTCATTTATTTTTGTCCATTTCATGCCTTATATATAGCATTTCCAAGTCAATTTCAACCTTTTCCAAATCAAATTCAACCTTTTCCAAGTCAAATTAAACCTTTTCCATTTCAAATTCAACCTTTTCCAAGTCAAATTCAACCTTTTCCATTTCAAATTCAACTTTCGAATTTTTGTCAATTTTCGATTTTTTTCGAAATGAAGGCCACTTACTATATTATCGAAGGCATAGCTTTTGAAAAATACAAAAAAAAATTTGATAACGCGGTTGCATATCCATTTATTTTAACATTTTAGATTTTTTCAGCGTGATATTTCTATGTCATTTCCAAGTCAAATTCAACCTTTTCCAAGTCAAATTCAACCTTTTCCATATCAAATTAAACTTTTTCCAAGTAAATTCAACCATTTCCATTTCAAATTAAACCTTTTCCAATTCAAATTCAACCGTTTTCATTTCAAATTAATGTTTTAATTTTTTGTAAATCTTAGATTTTTTTTTTAAATAATACCATCCCCTCTCCCCCTCCAATATGAAAGTCTATTATTATGCTCTCCTAAGTAGAATTTTCACTTACGGATATCGATTTATTGTACCTATTCGGATTTATTAGGGACTTGTATTATGCTGTCCTGTACCTAGTTTTGAAAATAACCCCCATTTTAAGATTAAGTGACTGCGTTTCGAATCATTTAAGTTTTTTTGACTTATTCGATATAAGGGTGTATTTTTATGTTTCCCGATCAGTAAATTTTGAAAACTACCTCCATTTTAAGATTAGGCCACCGCGTTTCGACTTATTTGAGTTTTTCGGATTTTTTTCATATGAGAGTGTATTCTTATGTTTCCGGAGCCGTAGATTTTGAAAACGACCTCCATTTTAAGATTAGGCCACCGCGTTTCGATTTCTTTGAGTTATTCAGATTTTTTTCATATGAGGATGTATTATGTTTCCGGAGCCGTAGATTTTGAAAACGACCTCCATTTTAAGATTAGGCCACCGCATTTCGATTTCTTTAAGGGTTTCGAATTTGTATCATAAAAGAGTGTATTCTTATGTTTCCGGAGTCGTAGATTTTGAAAATGACCTCCATTTTAAGATTACGCCACTGCGTTTCGGCTTATTTAAGTTTTTCGAATTTATCCAATTTAAAGATCCACTTTTATGATGCCGGAGCCTTAGTTTTTATAACGACTTACATTTTAAGATTAGGACACTGTGTTTCGGTTTTTTTAAGTGTTTTTGATTTTTCCTTCGAATAAAAAACAAAATATGAAGGATTAATTTATTTTTCAATAAATAAATAAAAATATCTAATCAAAATAAATAAAATATGTATTGTCTCATTTTTAATTTAATTTTAGTTATCTTTTTTAATGTTGTGGTCTCCTGTCACAAAATTATAAGATTTCGAACAATTCGCTGAAAAATCTGAATACGGAAGGTTAGATTTATTACCAGCTGCTTTTCGGCGTTTTAGTTTGTCTTCTGTGGTTAATTTAACTTTAGCTTCATAATATTTATTTATTTATTCATACTCGAAAACATATCGATGAAACTTTGTATTGAAAAAATCCAAAATGAAGCCTAATTATTCGAGATGCAGCGGCTTAATCATAAAATGGAGCTTAAATATTAGATAAATTTAAATATTAAAGATAAGAAAAATTTCAATACGTCTCGGATAACATATAAGTAGATCCTTATACCGAAAAAGTAAAAAAAAAAAATTTTTATAATCCAAAACACAGTGGCATAAACTTGAAATTGGGTCATTTACAAAATGGGGGAAATCTACTGCTCCAGAAACATAAAATTAGACGTTTTTACTTGTTAAATTCTAAAAACTTAAATAAGTTGAAACGCAGTGGCGTAATCATAAAATAGAGGTCATTTTCAGAATCTACGGTTCCGAAAACATAAAAGTAGACCTTTAAATTAGATAAATTCGAAAAACTTAAATAAGTCAAAATGCAATGGTGTAATCATGAAATGGAGGTTATTTTCAAAATCTACCGCTCAAGAAACATAAAAGTAGACCTTAATATTGGATAAATTCGAAAAACTTAAATAAGTCGAAACGCAGTGGCGTAATCTTAAAATGGAGGTCATTTTCAAAATCTACAGCTCCGGAAACATTAAAATACACCCTCATATGAAAAATATCCGAAAAACTCAAATAAGTCGAAACGCGGTGGCCTAATCTTAAAATGGAGGTCATTTTCAAAATCTACAGCTCCGGAAACATTAAAATACACCCTCATATGAAAAATATTCGAAAAACTCAAATAAGTCGAAACGCGGTGGCCTAATCTTAAAATGGAGGTCATTTTCAAAATCTACAGCTCCGGAAACATAAAAATACACCCTCATATGAAAAATATCCGAAAAACTCAAATAAGTCGAAACGCGGTGGCCTAATCTTAAAATGGAGGTCGTTTTCAAAATCTACGGCTCCAGAAACATAAAAGTAGACCTTTATATTGGATAAATTCTAAAAACTTAAATAAATCAAAACACAGTGGCATAAACATAAAATGGATGTCATTTTCAAAATTTACTGATCGGGAGACATAAAAATGCACCCTTATATCGAATAATTCAAAAAAACTTAAATAATTCGAAACTCAGTCACGTAATCTTAAAAAGGAGGTTATTATCAAAAACTACTCATACGATAACAGACCCACACATCGAAAAATTAAAGATTATTAAATAAATAAAAAAAGGTTGAATTTGAAATGGAAAAGGTTTAATTTGAAATGGAAAAGGTTGAATTTGAATTGGAAAAAGTTTAATTTGATTTGGAAAAGGTTGAATTTGACTTGGAAAAGGTTGAAATTGACTTGGAAATGCTATATAAAATTAAAGTGTTTTCTGTGGGAATTGTCACATTTCCTTCACATATATATATATATATATATATATGTAGATTGTACTCTTGAGCCATGCGTACTCTTGCAGTCCAATATAATTTTGCTCTCCTAGCATAAGGGCTGTCCATTTCACTAAAGGAACATCATATGTTCTGTAATGTAGGGCATTTGTCAAGTTGTTCTCCTGTCAATATATCCAAGGAACACAGGGAGCATGTCGGGCTATCTTTTACACCGATGTGGTGGAGGTACTTATCCAGGAAATCATGCCCAGTGAGCATTCTAAAGCATGCCTTTAGGGATATCACTCGGAATCCTGCCACTTTCTTTCAGCAATCCACTCCATCGCTTCCCTTAATTGTTTGAAAAAGGTATTTACTATCGATACATTGTTTAAAAAACTATTTCATTGTACTTGTGTGAAAGAAGAAGTACAATATAAAAATATTGACGTATAAAGCATATGTTTATAATCTTAAAACATTTACTGTAGTTAAATAATTCTAGATCTGATATTATATTTAAATAATTAGCTATCAACGTCCGTTTATTCCGAAAAATTGTCATGCAATCTTTTAGAAAATTAAATTAGTGTATAATTTAATGAAATTTCTCTTTGTTAAATCCCAACATTATCAACTTACAATTAGTGTAAGAACTTTTGAACTTACAAAGGACCTAAGCTGAACGAGGGTTGACAATGAAAGATGTAAGGTGGCAGGTACGGATCCAGTCTGATTGCTCTGATGCATTTCTCTTCAACAAAAGATTAATAATGAGGGATGAACGGGCCTTTCTCCTCTTCAATCTTGCTCTTGAGAAAGCTGTACGGAATTCAGGAATCCAGACAGCCCACACAAAATTCACCCGTACTATTCAGATATTGGGATACGCTGATGACTTGGATATCGTGGCCAGAACCCGATCGGCATTGGTATAAGCCTTTGAGAAACTTATGGACGCCGCTTCAGCCATAGGGTTGGGCATAAATGACATAAACAATGAATATAAACCATTATAAATGACTAACTAAATGTTGCCAATCCTAATGTTTACGTTTTCATGAAAATAATTCAAATAATCTATAGGCTCCTTCATTTTAAATGCAAATATTAGGATTCGATATGAATATTTGGACTTATAAATACGGATCAATTCCTATAATAGAGATCTCAATAAAAAATAGTTCCATTATCATATCACTTTAGATGATAAATAGTCGAAAAATTAATTTTTTTTTTTTTTGTAAATAAAATGTATATTTATGCAGTTATGTTTATTATAATACATCCCAGGTATGAGGAAAAATAAAATAAAGCTGTGCGATAATTTATTGTAGTCATTTTTGCTGAAAAAACAGGTACTTTAAGGAGACAGGATATCAAACCACCTCACTTTTTTACACAAATTGTAGTGAATCTCAACATATTTCATTGTAAACCCTCAACATAATTTATATGGACTTAAGGCTTATTAAACAAGTATGTTTTTCTAAAAGTGGGATATCTGTAGTGGATGGAGGATGATAAAAAAAATTCATGATTTTTTTAAAAAACAGAATATAGCTTAGTTTATCCACTCAAAAGTCCTTTTTAACAATGGCACACTCTATTTTCTTTTAAAGTAAATTTGGTCTAGTTAACTGTGATGCAATTGTTAATTACCTAATTAAGTATTTATTTATTTGTCATTTTCAACTCAACAAAAAATGTGCCACTTGAAAAAAAAATATATAAATTAAATTTCCTACTTTTTTGCCGAAAATTTTTGCCATTATTTAAGTGGACTTTTTTGTAGTAGTTAAAATCTACTGTTGCCTGTTTAAATATTTCTCTCTACTTACAGGACACCATGTACATATATATATGAAAAGTAAAAACTAATTGCACAATTGCCTTAACATTTGTGTTGAACACAAATATTTGACACTATCCATTAGCTGGCTGAAATACGATCATAGGGTTTGAAAGAAAAAAATAATTGTTACAAAAGTTATATTGTACACATCTGATAGATATTTCAAATTATTATAATAATTCATTAGATTTGCCATATTAAAATATATTCTCATATTAAAACACTATTGCAGAAAATTTAAATATATTTTGTTTAGTGTATTTTGATTAAGATTTAATTTCAATTTGGTATTTAATCACTTAATTTATCACAGTTTATTGGCTATCACAGTGTAATTAAAACTCCTTGGCTTGATAAAACAAGCACATGACATCACTTACTTATACTGTTCCTTTATAATGTTATGAGCCAGATAAAATTTAATATTAGCGTATATTCACTTGAAGTGAGGAACACTTGCAGAGCTCATGTGTTTGTACCTTCTTAGTTCTATTGACCAAAGTGCTGTAAATAAATATGGTTATGGTTTTCTTTTTACCAAAGACAATTTTTAAGTACCATATTTCTTATCAAATCTTGCTTTTTTATTTATTTCTTCTGGGAGCTTCTCGCTTTCATCAAAACTCCTTTTTCTTCTAATCCTTCAAAAGGAAAAAAGTATTAAAATCAACTTAAAGTTCATATATCTGTTGCCCAAATGGCTATGTTTACAATGAAATAAGAAAAGCTAACAAGCAAACCATGTTCATTATCAGCAAAAATTATCCTGAAAGGTTGAAGAGAGTCAGCAATATAGGGCCTTACAGTGCTTAAATTTGTCCCTGACCATTCAGGTTTAAGCACTTTATTTATTAAATATTTTAATAAGTCCCAATTACAGATGACAGCCACAGAAAAAATATTTGGCTATCGGTCACTCGTCTCTGTTCTATTGGATTTTATTTTATTTTTTATTGCAAAAGCGTTTAGGATTTTTTTTAATTTCCATCAGAGGTAAATTTTATTTCATTCATTTATTTATTATTATTATTAATCCAGAACTGAATGCATTCATTTATTTATCTTATTAGAAAATATGTCTGTTTTAAGATTGCATTTAATAAGTAATTTGGTCCGATCTTTCATTTAATATAACATAAAAATAAACCTTTTTACAGTATACCTTTTTCTCATTTTAAAGATATAATTTTGTTTACAATAATAGAAAAATACGTTACTCTAAATTAAATATTTAGAGGAAAATCTGGACAGGTTTGGTGGAGAAACACTCCTGTGATTTGTCAACCCTACCTTCAGTTTAACAGGCTCATTATAACCACTAAAAATAACTTATTATACAAATAATCAGTTTACAGCTATTTGTTTTCTAAGAAACAAATTGTCCTGATTGAGAGAAAAAATGGAATAACTAGCATACCATTTTTTTTTTTTTTTTTTTTTTTTAAAGAAAAAGTTCACAAAATATAATATTTTTAATTTAATTATATTGAAAAACAAATATAATATTGAATTTTCTATAAAATTTAAATTCCTTTTGCAACATACTATTTTTAAAATAAAAATAATACTTGGTATTTGTTAAATTAAAAACCGAAATTATAATTATTTTAATATGATAATTGTTTACTTTTTTTTATAATAAAACCTAAACACCAAGACCTTACAAGTAATGAGAATTCAAGCCTCAGGATCGGTGGTTTGAATAAAAAAAAAAAAAATTGCCTATTCAATTATTACCCTATTCATTATTTTATTAGTAAAATATAATTTTTTTGTCAAGACTGGTTATTTTTGCCTTGATAAAAAAATAACCGGTCAAGCTGGCCGGTTATTCCCATCCCTAGCCCCAATGCTGGAACTTAGCAACGTGAAGACACAATGAGAGATACTTAGCCATGGGAATATTTTTTTATTGCTTATTACACTGCGTGTTTTGAAAATAAATCAATTAAAAAAATCCATTGTTTTTAATTGATTTTTCCACTCATTTTAATGATAAGTCCAATCAGAAAAAAATAATGTATGCATTTAACAGCAATTGATAAAATATAAATAAATAAAATAAAAATAACTCCATGAATATTTCCATCCTAAAAAAAAATTCCCAAGGGTAAAAATAAAACCTAAATCAGAGGTAAATATTTCAGCATGACAACCCTGAATTTGGGTTGTGCAGGGCAGTTTTAAAACAACAAAAAAGTTGTTTATGCTTCTGAATCGGTGTGTATATGTAACTTATATTTTCCAATACAATTTATAATTTATAAATCAAATCCAAGAGAGGGGGCATACTACGCAGTGTGCCAATTTGGCTGCTCTTTTTCTTATGCTGGGTCTGTTTTTTTTTGTTTTTTTTGTAATTCGCCAAGTAACTCTCATTCACGCCAAATTATATATTATGTTACTCACACTAAATTAACTATTTTCATACCTGTATATAAATGAAGAATCATTGTTATCTCCTGACATACGACTAAACTGACCCCATGTTAATCTAGGTGCATCATCAAAAACTCTGAAAAATTTTTTATTACAAAATAAATATATAACGCATTAGACCTAGCATTACCACTGCACATGGTATATGTACAATATACCTGTATACAAATATTTCTTTTGTAATAATTAAAATAATAGTTATTAAATATCACTAATTACTAATTAATTATTCAAACAAATAAAAAAGGAGTAACGAAAATAAGAGATAAAAATCACAAATTTAATATATTAGTTTAAATGAATAACTGGGGAATATACCTTCTTAAAATGATGGCAGCTCTTCGAGTTTTCACATCTTGTGGCCTTATACTATGTGTAATACTGTCAGCTGCAAATCCACTGTGAAAATGTGCTTAATTGTATTAATACTTATATTTGTCTTAATCTAACAAGCAATTCACAATATTTATTTCATCACATAATTAAAAATAAGTTAACACCTGTTGAAAATGCTTGAAGACTTACCTCAAACAAAGAACAGACCCTCTAAGCAAAGGCAATGTGAATACTGGGTTTGAAACCCTTATTGGCTTAAAACTAAATTTGCAGCCAAATGATAACAAACAATCGCTAAAAAATGAAGCTGAGACTATCGGTCTAAAATGGAAAAAAAAAAAAGTTTTAGTTCAGCTATAAAAACTAAATTGCTAAGTCTAGATTTTTTGTAAATAGTATGAAATTTGTGGATAATGTGTTAATGATTGTATATTATATTTAATATTTGGTTTATAAAAATTTATCTATTTTACCTTATAATGAATAAATGGTTTATAAAAAGCTATATTGAAAGAAAACATTAAAATGGTAACTAAGATAATGTTAAAATTTTTTCAAATGTAAATAATACGAATGATAATTTTTTTCTTGAGTCTACCTTTCAAATATTTGAGGAGGATCAATGTGGGAAACAATACAACCACCAGGAAGATACATGTTTATTACTGCTGAGTTTATAAATCCAATTGGAAAAATACCAGCCAATTCAAGGGGAGTTATTATCAAGCGAGAGATCCATACAGGAATTGGATCAACTTCTCCCTTGGGAAACAACACCTCTTCTCCAAATCCATCTCCATAAGTATATCTTTCTCCAAAAAAATACCTACATCACACAACAAATGAACTTTAAAAATAAAACCTTTAATTATTACTCAATTCAACAAGTCTCATGTACCTGTTATTCATACTAATATTTGTAGATAATATTTATTTAATACAGGGAGGGCTTGACTTAATGTCCATTATACATAAAAAAAAGTATTTCTATTATTATCAGCAGTTATTACTAGCAACCATTAATACAGTTTAAATTTTTTGTTTTTATTTTATATTAGACAAAATATACTTTATCGGCTTGAAAACTGAGGATAAATTTGCATTAACAGCACATTTATATTTATAAAATAAATAGAATAGGAATATATGTAATAAATGTCTGTTTGATCTTACAGAGACTGAGGGGAGCAAGGACTCACTTCTCCTTGATCATGAATATCATTTTATCACCTTAGTATATGTACCATATAATTAATATTTATATAAATGTAAATAATATTTGAATTCATTTCAAGGAGACTATATGAAAATTCTTTGTTAATGATTGATTATTTTCAAAAATAATTTATATTATTTAGCCTATATAAAGTAATCTTAGAACAAATACTTCTTGAATTAAATATGTGTACTTGCTTCATCAACTGATAAATTATGATACTTACTTGACCCTGAGACGTGTTTTGTCTACAGTGAAAGGTTTGAATTTTCCATTATTAGCATCGTGCATTACTTTTTCTATCTGCTTTTCAATTTCACAACATTCATCTTCTTTGAAAACATAGTACTGCTCAATTCCTTCACATAGTTTTTCAGAGGCTGAATTTTGTTTATACATATGCCTAAATGAACCACAATAACAAAATCAAATAAATAGAGGTATTTAATAAGTATAAGTAACAAACTTTAGAAAACTAATTAATTATGATGAATAAATAAAGAAATATCTAATATACTCAGTAGTTAAGAGATATAAGTAACTCATTTGATCACTGCAACTTTCTTGGATCAGTTAGAAAACTACTAAATGAGACATCGTTTAGTTTGGCTGCTAAAGGATATCAACAAACTAATGTTTCCCTCTCCCCATGTTCTTATTATCATTTCTGGATAAAAGTTGCAGCAAAAGCATTCAATAAGCTTCACAGAGACATCTAGATATTTAAATTTAAGCAGGAAATATCAGTTATTCTATCAAGAATTTGGTTCAATTTTAAAGAAAGCTTCAATAGTTATATCACGAAAAAAAAAAATCCAACTTTATTTCTTTCAATACTTCAAAGACCTGAAATTTGAAATTATGGAGACAAAAGTAACTAAATCTGGACTTGTAATATCAATATTTATTTATATATTCGGTTCAAAGCCTTTAAGCCACACACCAAATAGGCCAAGAAACATATTCTGACAAAAGTGAAATGTTCAAGGTTTATTAACTAGAAACAGCACAAACTAAAAGTCAGCCAGGATTTGAACTAGTACCATTTTTCTCTTGAAAAAGCTGATGAAGTACGCCCCCCAATATTCTAATACCATGACCTTCATCTTTAAATAGATTTCACCTATACAAGTATTTAATGAATTAAAAATACAAGAACCTAAAACCAATTCAACAAGACAGTCATCATAATTTTTTTTTTGGAAAACCGTGTTAAACCAACCTTTAAACCATCAGCAAAATTAAACATAATTCAATTCCTATACAGATCATGACCAATAGACAATTTTTTGACATGACTAGTTTCATAATGAATTGATGAGAAAAACAGAGGAGCTTCCCATTAGAATTGTACAATAAAGCATTTATTTGCACTTGAAATTTAGCAAAAGTAATACTAAATTATTGTTAATAAAAATGGATCAGAACTAAGAGGACATAGTTGAAAAGCGACAAAAGGCAGCCTTAAGGAAAAGAAAACATCAAGCCAAGTTAAGAACCAAAGCAATTTATTAAACAATTTTGAGAATTTCTGTTAAGTTTCAATGTTTGTTATCAAACAAAGGGCTTACTATAACATGAGTTTAGTAATAGTTAATACTAAAAGGAGAATCAAATGTCACTAATAAAGAAAAAAAAGTTATTGTAAACACCTTTCATAAAGTACCTACAAGCAAGTACTTTATACACTTTGTTTTATAAATAAAGAAACTAATTTACTATTTACTTCCTGATAACCACTCACAGATTTATTCAAAGCCGTGGTAAATAGGAATAACTGATTCCTTGATATTTTTTTTTTAACAAACAATAAAAGGTCATCTTCAACCTAATTTGGCTAGCTAATGCAAACTTAAGGAATATAAACATCTTGGTACACCATGAATTTTAAATTTAGAATAGACCACAGGGCAATTTTTTTTTTTAATCACAAAATTATCACTTATTCCCCTTGAAACTAAGTGCTTCACATATTAATTGAATTATTTATGATGGATAAATTTCATTTTACACTTACTTTTTCACTGTAGGAATAGTATTACTTAAGCCTTGAGCTCTATGTTTTAATATTTTATTGCATCCTTCAGCCATATTGTAAAAATAATAAGTAATGGACTTTAACCCATAGGTTACATACTTTCTGTGATTCATGTTGGTCAGAGTACCTATTTTTTTTTTTTTATAATAATATAATATAAAAATTATTACTTGAACAATGGTATCGAAAACTAAATAATAAACACTAAATTTTATTATATACATTTATTTTTTAGAAAAGGATACAAAGGAAATATAATAAATATCATCAAAGAGGTACAGACTAAACATCAAACTAATTTATAAATTTAATATTTTTATTCAATAAATCCAAATTGCACTTATAAATGGGCAATCAATGACAAAGGCATGTTGAAAGGCTGCCATTTCTCCCTTAATTTCCTATCACATGGTCTTTTTATCTAAATTCTACTCAAAATTCATTTTATACAAAATGAATATCTCTCCATAGCACTAAATCAATACTGAAAACTAATAATTAATTCGTTTTGAGCACTGAAGGAAGAGTTTTGATACTCAATCTTTTTGAATATTTGTCACAAATTTTCTGCCATGAACACGAGGAGGGCAAGGCTATTTTGTTAAGGCATCTTAATCTAAGACTAGGCTAAACTAAAATACAAAAAAAAATATATATATTTTAATTTCATTGCTGCATCTATTACGTTAATAGTTAAAAAGAAAACTAAGTTCGATAAATGCAAGTAAATACTATTTATAATGATTTGTCTATCCATTAAAATAGAAAAAAGTACAATAAATGAAGTCTAAATAATACAATGATAATTGAAAGTAAGCATTAATATATGGGACATAAGGTAAAAGTAATACAGCAATAATTGAATTAAATATCTCAATGGTTTATATATACTCTTGACTCTAATATATACATCTATTCTAATATTTTCAATTATTTATTTCTCTGAATCATTCCCTGCAACTCCAAAATTAACAAAAGAAAAACTAAATGTATTAAATAATAAAAAGTTTTCATCTTTAGATGTAAGACATTCAGCAAATTATGTATATGTTTATATATTCTCATAAAGATTGCATAAGATAATAATAGAAAGTACAGCAATAACCAATTATGGTATGCTTTCGATGAACTAATGATGTAAACAGGAATATAATAAATTACCTAAAGCTGATAAAAATAAAGATTACAGGGAAAAGGAAATATTTATTCATATTTATTCAGTGGTTAATTAACAGATAACAATTAAAAACAGTAGCACATCGAATATCATCTTCATTTTTAAATTACAATGCAGTACTTTAACCCTATTAAAATTAAATAATATTTGGTCAACTTCCTATCTGAAAACCAGCCACATATTTAAAATATCTAATTATTTTGATAAACCAATTTAACTTTAAATAGACACATTAAATTTGATAAGTAAATATTATCATTTTCTCTTCCCTTCTGATGTTAAATAAGGTAAATTATTTACTGCCCTTGGTCCCAATCAATTCATATGATCGATGTCCTACTGTAATTAACCTATCAGGGTAAATGTTGAGACAGTAGGTACATATCTATTAAGCTTCAGTATTTAATATATTATACTTTTTTAATTTAAAAAAACTTAATTATATAACAAAATTAAGATATAATATAATTTTTTTATTCTTTAATATATCCAAACTATTTTTTAAAATATAAATTTCTATTTTTCATGCTAATGTGAAGCATTTTTCATACGGTAAAAAAATATCAATTAATTTAGTCTAACAATTACAATATAAGGTAAAAACATAAAACTGAATTCCAATGTGCAAAGAAAAGAAAAAACTTCATCAAGTACATCAACTGTATATCAATACTTTTACAGGTAAAGCACTCAAGCAATTTTTGTTTCATTTTAACCATCTTAGATACAAAATTAATCAATTAAAAAGTTGGTTTAAAAACACATAATATAGAAATGAAAAATGATATCAAACTACTAGCAAAGAGATGAATAATAAATGAACAAAGAAAATTTGATAGTTGATAAGCAGAAGATAAAAGCACACTGAATGGTAGTATAATTTCCTGATTTTAAGACATTTCCAACAATTTGGGTACTTATACATAAATTACACTATATACATATAAAAAATAGATATTTCCATTCATATGAGCTCAGTTTAAATATATTTAACATAAAAAAGATGTTAGCATATTTATTCACCTCTTAAATAGATAATCTCAAATAACATTACACTGAAATGTTTTCTTAAAAATCATAAATTATGTATGGCAGATGCAAAAGAAGATTGAATACTTTTTTTTCATATTAAGTTATTAAATAAAGATTAGTACAATATAATTTGAGTTGAAAAACATTCACTCTGGGATAAGATTAATTTCATCACTTGAATTGCAATTAAAACTTGAATAAAAAAAGTGTTTTGGATAAACATGATAATCTAAAATCTATAATACATAATATTGGTGGTAAATTAAAAGTTTAAAAATAAAAGCAACAAAATGCATACATCAATCAATGGTACTTTTGAAGCTGTTACAAGGATCCTTACAAGACTGCACAAATTAAATTTTATTCATCTTGTTAATGGAAGAAAAATTGTTCAAAAAAGTGGATGAAATTTACCAAGGGAACACATCCCTAGGTTATTATAAGTATTTACTTATCTTCTGTTTTAGAATACAAAAATGGATATTTTAAAACAATGCAGCATTTAAAACACTGCATAGATGTTCCATATTAACTGTCATTTATTCTTTCCAGTCCTTTTTTATTTCAAATATCCATTCCCATTTTAAATGAATATGCTTATCATCATCTGTAAACAGGGAATGGACAGTATAAGATCCTCTAGCTACAAGTCCAGATGGTGCATCTTCAGGTGGAGTAGTATAGCTTTGTAATTCCGTCTTAGGAGGATAAGAACCAACCATATGAGTCATCTTGTCAACTGTACAAAAAATTAAAAAACTAAAACATTAAATTGACAATTAATAAGTGAGAAAATATCTATTGCCATAAAAAATATTTTATAAAGCAATATGCTTTATAATAAATAGAGTTTATTTTTATTTTTTAAAATTTTAACTTCATCAATAAACATTAAAATGTCTAAAAGAAAAAAAAAAATTAAATAAGTAAAGCTCAACTTCTGACAGTAAAGGACACCGAATAACTAATGTTTAATAGCTTTCTCTAAACAATACTATAGCTGACAACTTATTGGCTAAAGATGCATTTTCTTAGCAATGTACTGGTGTAACATAATCATCAAATGTAATACACTGCAGATTTTGATAATGGAGAGTCTTCCTAAAGATCAAACAACGAAAATGGCAGCATTAAACATCGGAAATTTATTCCTCACTGCTCCCAATAAATTCAGTTCTCAGTTGCAGGACAGGACAGATTTCAGGAGTTGTGAAATTAATTCTATAATTTAATTTCTATTATTCTATAATTGTATAATTTAGTCGTATTGATATTTTTTTGCTAGGTTTAATTGTGTTGTTCAAATGATATCAATATCAATACTTAAGGTTTAGATACTAACACATACTGGCGATTATTTAATCTGAAAAAATCCTTTCAGAAAATCAATGAATTTTAAGTGATAATAAAACTTAAAAAATATTTCTACAGTTAAATAATTAATAAAATAATTTATTATGAGCTATATGAAATAAAGATTTACAATATTACCTTCAACAGCTCCAGAAAAAAAGCAGCAAAAATTAATACAAATTAATTCTCAATATTGATTAAAATTTAAAAAACAAAACAAAACTACCAATGAAAATGTTATTATGATATTATATGCGTTTATAGTGAACATAAATTTAAATTGTTCTGGCTATGAAAATTTGCCTATTACAAGTAATTACTACTCTTGTGCAACAGATCAGGATATCACTAACAATAGAAAATCAAGGGTTATTTTCTAAACATTTTACCTGGTGGACCATATAGAGGCCTCCACTAAGTTCCATGGGGTCATAGTTTGCGATGACAAAAACATTAAATGTTTATATTTATTTCCCGTAATAGCAATTTAGGAGCTATTAAAAACTGATTTTATTTTTGTTGTTTATTGAAAATTATAAATATAAAACATTTTTATGATACATAAATGAGGTTTAAAGCCTGAGCTTTTATATAATCTAAAAATCAACAATACAATATATTTTAATTTAACAAGTGCTTGAACAATAAAATATACAAGGGAGGGGAAAAACATCCAATAAAAATAAATAAGAAAATAATAATGAAAAATAAGATAAACAAAAATAATAAATTGAAAGAATGATCGGAAGTTTCTTTATTTTTCTAGTTTTGTTAAAATTGATAGCTAGAGATGTCACCGTTCCTATTGATTGTAGCATGTTAGCCTAAAGCGTTCTTTAATAAATTGTCTATCTAACACAAAAGAAATTAATTTTGAACTGGTTGTTCTAGATATTTCTTGAAACGAATAATTTTTGTAAGTTTGTGTATTAGTATAGGGAATGGGGTAGCTCAGTGGTAGGGTACTGAGCTTCTAATGTTAAAGGTCCCAGGTTCGAATCCCGGCTCATCGCAGAAAAATTATTTATTCTGTTTCATTGGCCGTGGGGCGAACTTGAGTAGGTAAACTATCCTGGGGCACACCCAGCCTCTACAAAGTGGATACTCTTAATTAAAATAATGAATTAAGAGGGAAAACCTGACGGTTGAGCGTGATTTCGGCCCTATCACCTCCCTGCACAACCATTGGCCTTGTAGTAGTACTTCGTCACATAGTACTGAACCCAAGACTCTTCATGGGTTGTAGTGGTACAGGTTTTTTTTTTTTTATAAATAAAATGATGTGTAGATTTAACAACAAAAATATATAATTACCTCTAGCACCAAGTCTGTAGGTTTTCTGCACATACTTTAAGCCATGCACAATTTCCCTTTGGACTAAAAAGTCAATCCTGATGCGGTAAGAAATTCCTTCTTTGATGACAAATACCTGTTGGTAAAAATATAAATAATATAAAATACTGTCTACAAAACAAACTAAATACAAAATAATCTGTGGTACAGACCCCTTTTTTTTTGTCAAATTATTAACAACCATCTAAACCATGAATGGGCTGATCTTATCGTAATTTACAATTTTTTATTTACAAACATTTTTGGAAATGGGGCGTGTTTAATCTGAAGATCGGAAAACTTTGTCTTTTTAATGAGGTTCTAAAAAATCATGAACACCCATTTGCTTTTCACTTAAAGTATAAGATAACTTGATTAGGAAATCGAGAAAATGGGTGGCTTAAAAAAATATTGGGTCATTTGGTGTGACCTTCACCCTCAACATGTCAAAATAACAAGGTTATGTAGGCCCAAATGGCCCTGTTATTGTATGCCACCTTTGTATTAAATTTTATGATCAAATTATCTTACAATTCAAGTGGAAAGCAAATGAGTTTTTAGTACCTCATTAAATCAATTAATTGAATGAGAAAATGTCCTATTTCTGAGAATTTATGTAGATAAAAAAGAAGGTTACGATAAGATGGAACTATTCACAAAATTTTAGATCAATGTTAATAATTTGATAAAAAGGGGTCTATACCGTTGACTAAAATGGAACAGTCACTAAAATTTAGGGGTGGAAATGTACTCTCTGTCAAATAGTTATTTTAAACTGCGCAGCTATATGAACTTTTGGTTTTTACAAAATACTAATCTTTATCATTAAGCCAGTATGGATAATTAAACCTAATATAAATATTAAGCTATATATTTGTTTGTACTACATAATTTAAGAACACCAACAATACCATAACATAACTTTGTTGTAGTACTGATAACAGCTCTCCTAGATTTGGTGGGAAGAGGAATGTGTCCAGGTACCCACACATTCTAGATATCAAACAATATTTTTGCCCAAGAGATCTACAACGCTTTTAAGAAGGTTTTAACATAAAAACCAATTTATTAATTCTTGTATTTATTTGTTTGTGATCCAATATTGTTTGAATAAGGGTTTGTGTTTCATAAAATGAGGAGTGAAGCATTAGGTTAATACAATTGGAAAGATGACGAAGAATATTTTCATCGCTAATTTATTAATAACCAAATATTACCTATTGCTAAATCATTCTCAAAAAAATATTTTTAAATGAAGTACGTAATCTGTTCTAACCTACAATTTTCCAAAAGACCCAGGAGCCAAAAATATCAAGTATGTGTGAACTAGAAGAGTGTAAATCACAAGGTATTTGAATATAAAATAAAAACTATTGCTTTAAAATCAATAATACATTTCTAATTGATAATTGTGTAGTTAGATATTATCATATTCAATTATATAATAATTTCTGGGCCATTTTTTTTTTTTTAGTATGATGATGAAGAAATTGAGTAAGATTTACCAAAACGATTTCTTTTCAAGTTTAGTTTTTATAGTTATAGTAAATTTGATCGATGGCAGGGGGCAGCCTCCCCCTTAGAAAGAATGAGTCTAGGTTTCTATGTTGTATTGCCAAGAATGCTCGGACAAGAGTCTAATATTTTCAACATACTATCACTAAAAAGTTTCATTCCAATCTATGATCTTAAGTCTGTAATTTCCCCTTATCAGATACTAACCAAACACTATCATACAAAAAATATCACAAATTAGTAACTAAAATTCAACCACGTAAAATTACTAAATAAATAATTAAAATGAAAAGAATAAACAAAATATATTAAAAATCTGACAACCGATTACAAATACTAACATTACCACCATCCAATTCAACCTTAAGAAAACTTACTTGTTTTTTCAATTCATCCAGAGGTTTTGTTAAATCAAGCTCCATGTCAGGTCTACCTTTAACACAAAGAGCTAGTCTCTTGACAATAACTTTCCTATCATCATTTGGATCTAAACAAAAAAGAGGTTGAAAAGCAATAATTTAAGGCACTTCACATTTGATACACAAAAATTACACCTCCAATAATCAAAGCTCACCAACTATAACTTTTCCAACTTTGGCTTCACCTAACAGGGCTTCTTTATATTTTTGCAAACTTTCATCCTCTTTATCAGCAGATAACAACTCTTCTAAACTCTTCTCTGGAGGAGGCTTGTAATCAGATTCTATATCCAGATCTTCCAGGGCTGCATCCAAATGTTCCGTTTCTACTGGTGATGGTTCAGACATGTCTAAATTATCTAAAATGTATTTGTTATCTGTGAAACTTTATATGAAAAAAAGTAGAATTCTGAATTAAAAAATAGCTTAAATTAGATTATTCTTGGTAGGGGGGAACATTATGGTTACCAACAAAAAACAATAATCCACAAATAATTTTTATATAATGTTTTTAAGATCTCAAACTAACACTCACTTTAAAATTTTATAATCATAAAATAAGTTCCAAAGAACGAATAACTTTGTCACACCTCAAAAAAATCTATGAACCCTCCCCACTACTTTTCCTGACTCATAACAGAGTTACCAATTCTTGAACTATATTTAATTGCGTTTTTCATCAATAATAGTGAAAATAATGATAATTATGGTTAGAAAAAATTTAATTCTTATGATTTAAGTATCAATAAGTAAGCAATTGTAAAATAATAATAAGAGAGTTAAATTGAAATCAAATAATTCATAATCGAACCTGTGCACGACGCCCAACTGTTATCTTATTCAGTGTAAGGAGAAGTTCAACGAGAACAATTTATCTTGAAAGTTAGTTGGCGTTGTTATAGTTATCACAAGTTAGTAATTGCATTAGATATGGAATTCAAGATAATGCTTGATACAACGTCCAAATAAAACCTACTATCCTCATTGCGGAACAGTGAAACTTGAAAGTCTTTAGAAATGTTTATGATACAAATAACTCTTTACTTTAAGTAAAAATAATATAAAAAAGTAAACAAGTTTTATAAAAATGTTTCTGTGTTGATAATGATATTTAATAAAATTTAAGGAAAGAAAATACATATGAATGTTCCATGTAGTTTCCATTGCTTCTTGTACTTGCATTCAAGTCAAATCACCACGAAATTCTAAAATTCAAAAAATAAATGTTTATTTATTCACACAGCTGACATTAAAGATGGACCAAAAGTAATCAGAGTAGAAAGTACAAATTACAAAATACTTTACTTAACTACTTAACTATTCCCCAGTATCGAGTACTTTAATCACTATACGACTTGATGAATGACGAGTACAAAAACTACTCAGCTGTTCTCGTGAGTACTTTCCATTTTCACATTTACTCAGAATTATTTTAACGTATTTTAAAGTAATTTTCAAAGTAATCGAGTACTTCATTCGACAAATAACAGGAGTAGAATACTTTATATTTCATCAATATTGAAGTCCATTCTTATGTTATGATGGTTATAGTTTTTCAAAATACTATCAATATTAACGTTAATCAATAAATTATCGACTTATTAAAATAATTTGGATTTATTCTATATTTAGATCCACTGTTATGTTATCGGGAGCGCTTTTTATGAAAATACAGTCGGATTTCAAAATAGAAATATATAGGAGTGACCTATAAGTCTGTATAGGACTTTATAGTAGACCCTAATATCAAATAAATCCGAAAAGTTACACGAACTTGATGCGCGGTTACGCATTCTAAAATCCGACAGTATTTTCTTAAAAAGCGTTCCCCATAACATAATATTGAACCCTAATGCCAATGAAATCCCAAAGGTTACAAACACTTGATGCACATTCTGAAATCCGACAGTATTTTCATAAAAAAATGCTCCCCATAACATAATCGTGGACCCTAATATCAATTAAAACCAAAAAGTTACAAAAACTTGATGCGCGGTTGCGTATTCTCAAACCAACAATGTTTTCACAAAAATCACCCTCGATAATAGTGGATACTACTATCCTCCATATTCCCATCCTCCTGGAAAACTGCCCTAGTCCGACCTTTGAATAAAATTCCCAACCCTACCTGTATGACTTCCGACCTATTTCTCTCCTTTCCAACCTGTCAAAGCTGTTAAAACGCCTTGTACAAAATCAATTCTCCAACTTCCTAGAGGAACGTTCCCTTATCAATCTATTCCAATCTGGCTTTCGACTTGGTTACTCAAAGCAATCCGCTCTCCTTAAAATAACCAATGACCTCCGAAACTCCATGGAAAACCAAAACCTTACTATCCTCATCCTTCTAGATTTCTCCAAAGCGTTAGACACAGTTGACCATAACATCCTTCTCACTAAATTACACAATCTTTCTCTATCCAACAGTACCCTGCGTTGGTTCAAATCCTTCCTTTCAAATCGGTCCCAGTATGTAGTCGTCCCAGGTCAACTCCCATCTAAGACCCTCCCCCTCTCCTGTGGTGTCCCTGAAGGTTCCTCTCTATCTCCTACTTTGTTTGCTATTCATATTAATGACCTTCCCCTCCTGATCCATCACTCCCAATACCATATCTATGCAGATGATTTACAAATATACCTGTCTTTCCCGCCCACCAACCGACAGAAAAACTTCAAGAAGACTTGGATAGGATTTGTGACTGGGCGAGAGCTAACAAGTTGAATTTTAATGCAGAAAAGACGAAGACAATCTTAATAGGCTCCAATCACCTCCTTAAAACTGTTCCTAATATTCCAACTCTGTTCCTACATGATAATCCCATCAAATTCTATCCTTCCACCAAAAACCTTGGAATGATCTTTGATCAAACGCTTCCCTGGAAAAATCATATACCCAACATCTCCCGCCGTACCATTTCCACCTTGAAATGTCTAAATTACTCCCGTCACCTATTTCCCTTTGAATCCCGTAGGTTCCTAGTAACTGCCTTAATTTTTCCCCACTTTGACTATTGCTGTACGGTATATGGGGGCGTCTCTGGGGATCTCGAGGCAAAATTAAAACGTTTGATAAATTGCTTTGTACGATTCATCTTCGGGATCCCAAGGGACGCCTCTGTTTCCCGTTTTTATGCAGAGTTGAAGTGGCTTTATCCTTGCTACTGTCGTAAGTATTTCCTGGCATTCTTCCTCTTTCGGGTCATCCAATCCCACCGTCCTTCATACATCTCCGAGCTCCTTGAATTCAAATCTTCTGGTCGTTCCCGCAATACTCGTTCCCGGTCTTCTGATTTATACGCAAGGGCCCACCGAACTGCTGCTTTCGACAGATCTTTCATTATCTGATCCTCATCCCTATGGAACTCCATCCGTCCCAACATCCGTCAATCCAAAACTCTTCCTACCTTTAAAACCCGCCTGTTCAACCATTTCTTATCCATTCAGTTCCCATGAAATTGTAAATAGTACTGTAAATATGTATATAAATTATCAGATCTTTCCTTATTATTCTTACTTTATGTTTATTTTCAATTTTTCATTTTTTTTTATTATTAATAACTGATTTAAATTAGAAAGTAACTTATAATTTCTTTTATTATTTTTTTAAATTTGACTATTCACTTACTCTATATTTTTGTTTATGTATCTCTGAGAATCCTTAGCCCACATTTTTGTTTTTCTGTATTATTCTAAAGGGACTCGTCCCAGAATAAATAAAGCATTATTATTAATATTAATTAAATCTAAAAAGTTACAAAAACTTGATGGGCGGTTGCGCAATCTACAATCCGACAGTATTTTCATAAAAAGCGCCCCCCATAACACAATAGTGGACCCAAATATCAATTAAATCCAAAGTTAAAAAAACTTGACTCGTAGTTGCGCATTCTCAAATCCGACAATATTTTCACAAAAAGCGCCTCCGACAACATGATAGTGGGTCCTAATATTGATTAAATGGATCTTTCATAGTTCCGATATGGACGTCATTACTTAAGTAGTTCAAAGAAAATACTTATACTCATGATAATAATGTAATAGTTGAAAAATAAAAAGTACTCAGATAAATTGGGCTGAGTAGTTCTGTAATCGCATATAACACAGCGAGTACTTTCTGTACTTAACTAACTATGAATAATACAGTGTGAGTACTCGCCGAGGTCGGCCTGAGTACAAAAAATACTCGCTACTTTTTCGTAATAAAAGTACTCAAATCATGAAAGTAATGGAGTACTGTCCATCTCTTGCTGATATTTACGAAAGTGATGACTGCATGAAATATAAAGTCCCTTCATCAAAATCATAGAAATAGCATTTTCTAACGAAAGATTGAATCTTAAGACACAAATCAAAATTAAAATAAGTTTAATGATAAGTAGGATAATAAGTAAGAAACATCACGACGATGAATTTTAGTTCCAGCCCTTCATTATGGGTATTAAGTACATCATTTCTAGTTTATCTTTCTTGGTTATGTTTATTTTTCCTAGTTCTTTATTTACGTTCGTCAAAGATATGTGTAAAAATCAAATAATGTGATGATTGTTGTGGCATTTTATACATAGGGAAGGTGATACCCAGTAGAAACCGCTTTTGGTGTGTTCTTTAACTCAAAAACGAAGTTCTCATCCAGTTCCTTCTTTTTTTTTTGTAAGTGACAATAAATTTTAAAAAACTGTATGCATAACAACCCATGATGGGTTTTGGGATCAGGACTTTGTTCAGAAAGAACTGTTTCTAAGACGACGCAAAGAAATAATTCGACCAGAGTGATAGCGTTTAACCGCCAGATTTCTGCCTCTCCCCAATCTAGAGCATCTTTAGAGAGGCTGGATGTATCCCAAGTCTTCTTCCACACTATCATTAATAAATTTTGATTTTATGGTTTTCGATATCAATGTCTGATCCATCAAGTATGAAGTATAAACAACATGTTTGCTTCGTAATTTGTTGAAGAGGCAAGGTAAATCACCAAACTACAAAAGCCAAAAAATGTGGCTAATAATAATCATATATATGAGGTATCAAATATTTCACAAAACTATTATCAACTTCTCTTCAATGTTAGTTATTTACATTAAGTTCAAATTTAAACTTATTTGCTATATTATACATAAAATATCTAATACTAAACTAGTTTTATTTCTTTACTAACCTATATGTATGACACGATTACCTGCAAAGGCATTTACGTAGGATTGGAGTGATGGAAAGCACTGTTTGCCTTCTTTGCCAGAAGAACGAGATGCGACCTGCACCTCGCATTATGCCTTGCTGTGCCAGATGTCCGCAGTAATCTTTCGGATGATCTGCGCATAAATACAAGCAATGGAATCAACAAATTGGAG